GTCCTATTGGAACTGATCTATACTATGCAAGTAGAACCCTCAATCAAGCAGAATGTAACTATTCCACAATAGAAAAAGAACTTCTTGCAATTATATGGGCGACAAAGTACTTTCGACCCTACTTATTTGGTCAAAAATTCACTATCGTGACTGATCACAAACCTCTTCAATGGCTCTTTTCAGTAAAAGACCCAGGTTCAAAGTTAGTCCGATGGATACTTAAACTCTAAGCATAGGATTATACTCGATGTCATTGATTATGCTATTCAATACAAAAAAGGAACAAAAAAATTAAATGCTGACGCTCTTTCGCGTCCACACTTCCTATTAGTATAATTAAACCACCATCATCACATATGTCAGCTATATGTGAAACTCAGAGTGAAATTAGAGAAGAAGAAGACGATTATTCATGGAGAGATAAAGTCAAGCATTTCTTTGATACACAAGAAGACTTATTTGATCCACTAAAAAAAAATATTCCAAAGAAAGTTGAAAAAGCTAAGAAAAGCTCAAAAATTAAGATAATATCAGACATTCAAATCAAACCTGATGGTAAGAAGGTAATTTTTGTAAATAAAAACGAATCGCCTAAACCAGGACCATCCAATGAACATAAAGGATCGCCTAATCGAAATAAAAAATTATTAGAAAAAACTGGATCTGAAACAGAAACAGTGCTTTCAGCTACTGAAAATCCTATCTTAGGAGCACCATATGTGGAAAAAAGTGTAAATACTCACAAAAATCAAATACTAAGGACTACTAAGGAAAAGCCATATCTGACAACAAAAAAATTGTTCGAAACAAAGGAAAGAACAATCATTTTCATCAATGAAAATCCAATTACAAGAGAAATCCAAGAAATATTCAGAGACTATTCAGCACCAGACACTTATTTTGTCTACATTTTTCTTGTAAAGAGTTAAAACCTCTTGTTTTAAGGATATTCCCAGAAACTTTCAGGAATAACACATTTAAACTTGTGATTTCCAATACCCTTCTTCAAGATATAACATGTAACAGATCAAGAAGAACAAAAAGAGATAATTGAAAGATATCACACAACAAAAACATCACATCGAGCCCATCAACAGAAAACATCAAAAATATCAAACAGTCATATATTATTGGCCAAGCCTTGAACGCGTAATTAATTTCATTAATACTTGTGAAACTTGTCAGAAAACGAAATATGATCGACATCCTTACAAGGTTATACCTATATAAGCCTACCCCAACAGGTTCAAAACCTTTTGTTTTGAGCACATTTATATAGATACATATCTACTCAGTATCTGGTCAAAAATATTAAACAATAATAGATAATTTCTCAATTGAGATTTGTCAAAACTTGATTAAATTCTTCTCACACCATGGAACACCTAGTAAAATTACTACGGATAATGATGGTCCAGGATGTAAAAGTAATTTAATCCAAGATCTTTGTGAGACTTGCAAGATTGAGTTACATTTTGTTACACCTTATAATCCTAATTCGAATTCACCATTTGAAAGGTTCCATTCAATATTAAAGGAAAGCCTTGTAGTTCTTAGGAATAAACATCGTTCCAAAATCATCCAAGAATTGATTGATATTGCTATATTAAATTATAATAATAGCATACATTCTTCTCATGATTATACACCATTTCAAATACTGTAAGGTAATTTCAATTATCAATTAAACTTTAAGAAAAATTTGAATCAAATACAAACAGGTTATATATACGAATTAGCAGAAACTTTTTAGCAACTTAATGAAACTAGGTATCCACTTGAAACTAAATGCAAAGAAAGCCAACGTTTTGAGTAAATTAAACGAAAAACGAGAAACTGATCCAGAGATCCCTGAAGCTACTACACACAGTTGTTAACAACACCTGAAAAATTGACAAAAAAACTTTAATCCAAGTATAAAATAAAAACATTTAAAGGTCAGACACCCTAAAGATGTTAAAAGACGTTTATAATTTTCAGAAAAATGATTATCATATTAACCACTAATATAAGGAATTGTTATTTAGATTTAACACAAAGAACACTTTTACAAGTAAACAGAACTCTAGAAAAACTAGACACACCCTTATATCATCTTTTACTCACAAGAGTATATGACCTTTGATCTTGACCAAACACAATCAATTGAATCATTTCTAAATCATTATACAAGACCTCAGAAAAGCGGATTAGTAAATTTCATAGGACAAGTACAGGGTGGCCCGTTTTATTAGGGTCCTATACCTTATCTCGAAATCTACAAGGGCTGTGAAAAAAATGTAAATACAAAAGTTGTTCCTAATAAAATTATCTACAACTTTTTTGTATTGTTTTTGTTGTCACTTTACTATATACAGGGTGGACGAATGAAATTTCATTTTTTTGAATAGAACACCCTATATTTCAATACATTTTTAAATAGACCTTTGAAAGACAAATTCAACGATATACTGGGCATGTGTCTGTGATAACTCGTTTCGAACTTATTAGCGATTATCTTCATGGATTTGGGGTAATTTTCAACAGTCATTATTACGTGACTCATAATCTTTTAAAACTTTTTTTTGCATGATATTTTCTATAAAATAATGCTCTTCTTTAGACTATATTCAAATTTGAAATATTTGCTTTAAAAACGCGGTGTTGCCACGTTTCGCAAAATGTTACGCTTTTCAATTTTTTTAAATGGGACCTCATGTTAATTTTCGAGTTTTTGGATAGCCCTTTAAAAGACAAATTCAACGATATACTTGAAATGGGTCTGTGATGCACCGTTTCGGCCTGATTAGCAATTATCTTCAGTTCTAGCACAATATTTCATTTGTCCAAGTCGCCTGGTGAATAACAAACATATGTCTATTTTCCTTCAACCATCTATTAACGTGGTTTATTGATGTATAGAAATTGTTCAATAATGCCACCATTAATGCATAAAAAGCGCTATTTTAGCTAATCTACTACAAAATTAGAAATTTTTTTCATTCAACAGGGATGACATGAGATATTGTGCTAGAACTGAAGATAAACGCCAATCAGGTCGAAACGGTGCATCACAGATCCATGTCTAGTATATCGTTAAATTTGTCTTTTAAAAGGCTATCTAAAAACTCGAAAATTTACAGGACGTCCCATTTAAAAAAATTGAAAAGCGTAACATTTTGCGGAACGTGGCAACACCGCGTTTTTAAAGCAAATATTTCAAATTTGAATATAGTTTAAAGAAGAGCATTATTTTATAGAAAATATCATGCAGAAAAAAGTTTAAAAAGTTTATGAGTAACCGTAACAATGACTGTTGAAAATTACGCCAAATCCTGAAGATAGTTGCTAATAAGTTCGAAACGGTATATCACAGACACATGACCAGTATACCGTTGAATTTGTCTTACAAAGTGCTATTTAAAAATGTATTAAAATATAGGGTGTTCCATTTAAAAAAATGCAATTTCATTTGTTCACCCTGTATATAGTAAAGTGACACCAAAAATAATACAAAAAAGTTGTAGATAATTTTATTAGAAACAACTTTTGTACTTAATTTTTTTTACAGCCCTTGTAGTTTTCGAGATAAGGTATAGGCCCCTCTTAAACGGGCCACCCTGTACATACCTAAATATCTTTATGGTACCCTAGATGCTGACGATGGAGAACGTTACGATAATTATATCCGAACTTTGCAAAGTAATCAAGAAACGTTACATTGTTACATCAAGATTTGTCATCCACACAGACAATCCTTAAACAATTAACAAAAGACATTGATACTCAGTTGACTCATGTCGAGACAAATCAACAGTAAATTATGAATCATATAAATGACCTCACACGAATGACTCAATCAACGTCTACTACGATGTACTATATTGTCACTAGATAATCTAGGAACAATATACATGTCATCAATGAGATTCGCACAAATGTTCAAGTTGCAATTAATTTTGCTGAGATAAATATTATGCATCATAGCATTCTTAATATCAAGAACTTCAAAGAATAATTTTAAAATTAAATTCAAAAACGCGAATTCCATTTGATAACATAATCAAATATTACGAAGTCGCACATGCTGACGTGACAATAAAGATCTTATAATTTTCTATATTGCAATTCCCCTAATCTTTTTGATAAACCATATAATAATATACTTTATCATGTCTATCCTATTCCAATAAATAGGAAAATAACACCTATAAATAATCCTTATTTGTCAAAATCAAATAATGATTTTTTTCAATTTACCAGAAAACTGTCAAAAAATAAAAGATCTATTTTTATGCCCTAGCAGGCTACTAAATAAAAATGAGCCTTGCATATCAGAAACCTCTATGTCAAAAACCATAAATTTGACCAATCATTGTTTACTGATACCAGTAAAGTATCAAGAAACTGCCGTAACTCAATTAAATGACAATTCTATCATTATTATTCCGAAAAATCAAGAAAAGATTGATTTTCAATGTCCCAATCAGAATACGATAGAATCAGTAGATAAACCTGCAATGGTTTGTAAACTGAGCATAGGAAATAAATATTATGATTCGCAAAAAGCTTATACAATTAATCTTATATTAAAGTTGCCATCAATGATTAATGAATATCAATGAAACTCTTGTTCAAAATGTTGAACCTTTGGAATGAAGAAAAATCGATTTAAATAACATTCATGAGGATATGAAAAATGTTAAAACCTCGATGGTTAAAACACTAACTGTACATCCATTAAGGAAATTTGATGTTGTAAACACTAGTGTATCGGTCACTTTAATTATAATCATTATTATTATCGCAGTGCGTATATTATCCTATTCACAATCCGATGTCCACAGGTACAGGTAAATTTATCACCTTTCCCTATCAAATAGCATTGAAAGGTGATAAATTTTACCTGTACCTGTGGACATCGGATTGTGAATGGATAATATATTATATTATTATTGCAGGAAAAAGAAATTTAAAAACAATGTAAAGGTGGACATAAAATTGAAACCCAATTTTTCTTGCGGAAAGCGATAGTTTATATTTTTTTATCGACAAATGGCTGAAGCAAAGCGACTCTAGAAGAGAGGAAATATTATTAAGAACAATTCCTGAAAAATTCACGTTGGTAATGGTAACTACATAAATACATGAGATATGACGTAATAAACAAAACTTTTAATAGGTAAATAATACCGATTGAACTATATTCTCAAAAATAATTTTTTTCATAAGTTTCTCAAGTCCTAATTTGAGAGAGAATCCCAAAATCAAATCCAGTATATTATGGTTTTATATTCCAAACAATTTTTTTCAACTTTATAGTATACTTTGGAGTGCTGCCCCTCTTGCCACTTTTTGGACATCAGATTCTCGACTATATTCTGTAATCTTTTCATCATGCTTTGGTTCATAATACGTTTTTTTTTGTTCTAGTATAATATCAGGGTGTCTATTCTGGTAACCAGGGTTCTCACGAGAAACATTGTCAGTGTTATGAAAATATAAATATGGGCGACTAAGATAGAACCTTCATTCTTATGAGAACGCTGCTCCCCTGTCACAAGAATAAGGGCCCATGCCATTTCTCATCTAGCCAACTAATGCCAAACTTGAAATGATTTTTTAGCAATATGCATGTTCGCTTTGTGCTTGTGCTTTTGTTAATCAATAGGTAAAATAACACTTATATAATTTATAACTTGTCGTTGCACTTTCAGTCTTTCCAGATTTCACTTAAAGAGCAATAATAAACACCTGTTTCATTAGTGTACGTCTGTCTCTACTTGAAAATACAAATACTTACATAAATAAAAAATTAAACTATCAATTTTTTTCAAATATTCTAATTTCCTATACATATACAAAGTTATTTTCCTCAAAACAATATTAAAAATGAAACAGTCTTTAAAAAACCACAACAAACCCTTAAAAACTAAACAAAATCAATCAATTTTCAAAATATTGCAAGCAAAATCACAATGATTCTGTTTGAAGTGTACAAAGTCTTTTAGATAATGCCTAAACCTGTTGCTTCTTTTAGTGTTTACTATGGCTCTTTGCTGCTCTGAACGAGCAATGTGTCTCAAAGTCGATAAATAATCTAAAGCTACGGATTTTCTTTCCAGAGTGTTGCTTAGAGGAATAGGACCTTTGAGGAAGTCTTCGCACATGTGTTGGTTGGCACGCCACCTGAAATATAAAATAATTATTAATATACAATACTATAAAAACACTTCAAAACCTACTTTCTCTCTTTTGAATCAGGCAGAGCCATATTCAAACTATAGCTGGTCCCTGTAACTTTTTTATAATTCTCTATACATCCATCTAAAACATTATGTGTTAGTTCTTGTACTAAATCCACAAAAACTCCTTTGCCATCTTCTTCTCTTTCAATTAACTCTAAGGATTCTAGCACCTCTGCAGACCAATTTTTTACTATTGGTTCATTTGAATTACAACAATTTACCTTTTTCTTCAATAAATCACATAAAGTAAGAGAATCGTATAACTCTGACATTGAATTCAATTTGTTTGTATCAATTTCAGTAAGAATTTCTGGGGTTTCTTGACTGTTTTGTATTTTGTCGGTGCTTAGCCTTCTTGAGGGACAACTAGGAAGATTAAGAATATTAGGAACATTCCACCATAGAAGGCCCAAGTCCATATTTTGAGGAATACAATGCTCTTTATTTTCTCGAAATATTTCGAAGCTTCCTAGGCAATGTTTGTGCACAAATTCTTTTGTATCATGCTTAATTTCAGAACTTAATTCTACATCGTTGAAGTTTTTGATAGGCAAACGTTTATTTTTCTCCAACTGACCTCCAGTTAAACTCCAAAATTGAATTTCCAGAAGTGTTTTCCTTATGTCGCCCTTATTATAGTCCAGTAAAATCCCCAAATCATCTTTATCGGCTAAAATCCCTTCAACTAAACATACTATATGTAACCAAATTCCTAAACAATGCATTGATAAGGGCATAAAACGTATACATTCATATTGACTTATGAATTTTTGCACATGAACTGGAGTATTATCGGTGGTTGTTAGTATTATAGGCCTTTTGCTCGTTAGGATTAATTGATTTAGAGATGACAAAAAGCCTTCGTCTTGCTCGAATATTAAATCGATGTCTTCCATAAATAAAATGCACATGCTTTTGCTACGTTTTTTGTCTTCAGATTTATCAACGGATAAATTTGAAAATGGTCCGTTTTTCTTCACCTGGTGCGACTGGGTGGCTTCTTGTAGGTCATTCAAAAGCTTTTTACCTAAAAACCATAAAAAAAAATCTTGTTAAGACTGATTTCAAAAATGTGGGAACAGCATGGAACATTGAAATGGATTAAGTGGATTAAAATAAAAATCGCCATTCGCAGATCGTCATTCGCTTATGTATCAGTGAAAGCATGTAATCATGGATTGGGCCACGAGAGGAATATACCAAGGCAAGGAAAATTTCATTATTGCAGTTAAGAAACTTGCAAGAGAAAACAATATAAGATGTTCATCTACATTGAAACTAGTCAATCCATGCAAAATGTGTCCATACAAAATTCTAATTGTGCTGTGCTAGAGTTAATAGGCGGTTACACACGGACGTGGATGTCTGAAAACATGTACGCACATACATGAACGCGCAAACAAAAACATCAATGTGTATGCAAAATACCGTCGCGTTTTTGAATGTGCAAACTGTAGAATGACGCTCAAATGAATTCTGGAATCGCCAGAAATTTTGTATGCACACTCGGAATACTATAAAGGCGGTTACATACGGACGTGAATGTCTGAAAACATGTACGCACATACATAAACGCGCAAACAAAAACATCAATGTGTATGCAAAATACCGTCGCGTTTTTGAATGTGCAAACTGTAGAATGACGCTCAAATGAATTCTGGAATCGCTAGAAATTTTGTATGCACACTCGGAATACTATAAAGGCGGTTACACACGGACGTGAATGTCTGAAAACATATACGCACATACATGAACGCGCAAACAAAAACATCAATGTGTATGCAAAATACCGTCGCGTTTTTGAATGTGCAAACTGTAGAATGACACTCAAATGAATTCTGGAATCACTAGAAATTTTGTAGGCACACTCAGAATACTGTAGCAAGAGTAGCAAGACTGACAGTTTTGTGTGAGCGTCTGTTCAAAAGTGACAAGCACGTCGTTATTTGTACGTTGATGTATGCACGTATATGTATCAAGCCATCCACGTCCGTGTGTAACCGCCTTAACAAGAGTAGCAAGACTGACAGTTTTGTGCGAGCGTCTGTACAAAGGGGACATGCACGTTGTTGTTTGCACGTTGATGTATGCACGTATATGTATTAAGTCATCCACGTCCGTGTGTAACCGCCTTATGGAAATGACAGATTCAGAAGTGAAAATTCATTGAGTAACTTTATTATCTAAACTATAGTTCCTTACTTCCAAAATAGGAATAGACAAGAATACACTCTCTCTCGTCTTGTCTCAAAGATTTGAGAGAAAATGAGTCTCACATCTCGACGGAAGACTCTCGATTCAAGACGAAACAGCTCTTCTCTCATGTTGTCTCGTTTTCTTTCGTCAGTTTTCACGCATAGTAGGTTAATTTCGACTCCGAAGTCAAGAAAATGCAAAAATGTATCATTACCCATTATACCCAAGGTTCTAAATAAATAAATATAAATAAATTAGCTTTTATTTCCAATTATAGGAAAAATGAGTTTTCTGTACAGGTGGCCCAAATTCGAGCCTCATCATTGGGATCTCGGTAACCGTAAGAGATACGGGGTCCGTTAAATTATGGCAAAGTTGCGCAATTTTATGACCAATAGAATGCCGTTTTGAAACTAGAAAGATTCCGAATACTTCCGGAGATATTCGGAAAAAACCTAAATTTTGTAAAATCGTTTTTATGTTTTCCCGGGCTTATTTGAAAAGCAATTTTAAAATAAATGTCACTTCATCGTTGTCACTTTTTACCCTTTAGAAGATGGTGCTACTAAATTTAAAATTCGACGTTTCGTCTTCAGGCGACCATCCTCAACTCACGTTTTTTAGATATGGACCCAGATTTTTTATTTGCGATTTTGTCATCTTTGGGCATCCTAAAACCGAAACTGTTTATAATTTTTCAATAACACGGTAAAAAAAGCAGGTTCGTATTTAAAAAAAATAAAATGATGATGATTCCAGAAGAATCGTTGTAAATACTTGCCATGTTCAATGCCTCTGGCAGAATATAACCCATCTTATCTGAATGTTACATACTCGGTTACATACTTTAAAAATTTTCTTTGAATATTTTCAATTGTGTTAACGTGGCACTCGTAAATAGGGTTCTAGATCACTGCACCATATTCAAGCTTGGACCTGACAAAAGTGAAGTTTAAAAGTAAATTAATTTTAGGAGTACTTACTATTTCTAATGATAAACCCTAGCGTTTTAATGGCAGCCAAGCTTATACATATTCAATGTGAGGTATAATAGTGAAGCGACTGTCAAAAACTATACCCAAATCTCTAACTTCGTTAACCCGTTAACCCTACTCAATGCTTTTCCTTCAATAACATATTGATACAAAATTGGCTGCTTAATTCTACAATAACTGACAATGTTGCATTTTTCAATATTCAAGTATAGCATATTTTTGTTACACCAAGTGTGTGAGTTATTTAGAGAAATTTGCAAATTTATACAGTCCTCCTCACCATTTACAGAAGTAAAAAGCTTCAAGTCGTCAGCATATGCGAGCTTTGAACAGGCGAAGCAGTAATTAGATCGTTGATAAAGATATTAAAGAGAAATGGTCCCAAATTGGATCCATGCGGAACACCTGAGGTGATGTTAAACACCGACGACCTGAAGCCCTCATATTGTACAAAAAGACTTCTGTCGAATTAGTAAGACCGAAACAGGCTCGCCAGCCCATCCGACAATCCCAAGGCCTGAAGTTTTGAAAGTGAGATAAAATGATTGATGTAAACAAAAGCCTTCTGAAAGTCAGTATAGACTACATCAACCTGTCCAAGCCCATCCAGACCTGTTCAAATTTCATAAGACAAGACAGCAAGATTGGTGACGCATGAGCAAACCATGCTGCTCACTTGCAATCTGGTTCCTAATATATGGAAAAAGTTTAAGAGTAATTTCAAAAAACTTTGGAGAAATTACAAAGTAAAGAAATTGACCTATAGTTGCTGACTTGAAAGATATCCCCTTTTTTATGAATATGGGGATAACTTTTGCCACTTTCCATGCTGCAGGAAAATTACTGGTCTTTAGAATAAGGTTGTAAATATGTTGCAGCGGATTGGCATTCAGCCCTGATCGGCAAGTGCACCAATACAATCTCTAACTAGACAGCTAGGAACACCGTCGGCGACCGATGTTAATTTGCTATTAAGCTTTTTGCCTGCATCAATAATATCTGTGGTATTAACAAAAGGAAAGTCGATGGAAGAAGAACATGACGCGAACTCGTTAATATCATAGGGTGTAGAATCAATATAAACATCATGAAAAAAGAAACCAAAGCCTTCCAGTATTTCTTGGCCATTTGAGTAATGTGTACCGTTATTAAAGACTTATCCAGGTATCCTAGTGAGACTTGTTTTGGAATTAATAAAAGGCCAAAAAGTTTTTGGATCAGATTTGACAGATGCGATAAACATTGTAAAAGTCTGGAAAGATTTCAGAGTCATAAATTTCAGGTTGTAGCCAGGTTTCCGTGACAGCAATCATATCGAAACCAGAGGGTAAAAATCCAAAGTTTTTGTATTTAAATCCCGCACATTCTGATAGCAGCAATGAATTGTGTTGAAGGGGACATTTCTATTGGACGAGCTTAGTTTTCCGACTGGTTTCGATTTCTTGTGACCGAAATGATAGTGAGTACCTACTCCTTTTATATGCCTAATTTTGATATTGTTTTTACCTGAGTTTTTACGCTGAGCAAGCTGCTCTTTAACAGACTTGTATAACTGCATCTGTTTTTTTGTTTTATCAGATGTAGTTGTAAGGTGACTTAGTTGTGCGTTGTTTTTTAGTTTATTGCACTGCTTGAAGCCTTCCACAGGACTTGTCGTGTTCTTGAAGCATACTTTCAAAGGATGTGGTCGAATTACCGCATTATTGGAATGTTGGTTCTGAATATTTCCCATATTATGACAAATACCTATTCAATATTTGACACATCAAAATCTGGGCATAAGGAGCAAAGAATACTATTAACAGAATCAGTATCATGAACATCATTTGAGGTAGGCTCACGTTATCCAAAAATGATTATGTTATTTTTGCGTTGTTCATTTGCTTCCATAGGGGGATTACGATTTGGATTCCTAAATTCAGTCTCAGCAATGGTAAGTCTAGAACTTAGGTTATTCATCTCTGTCAGAAGATAACCCAAACTAACCCAACTGCAAGTGGAAGGTTGTTCACTTCCAATTGCTTATTATACATATCAAGTAGGTCCTTGTTGGCCAATTCCATGCAGTTGAGCTTATGCATAATGTCCCATAGAGTCACAGAAGCAGAGGGTACAGGAGGGATACCTGATTTATTCTGCACTCCACACAGCAATTTACACGCCGTCTGGGATTTCTGTACGGTTTCTCTCAGGCAAGATGGATAACTCCAGCGATCACCATCAGGTTTTTTAAGGTCGCTCTCATAAAATTTTAATTGCGGAACCGATAGGTCGACGGTCGACGCATTTATTGTGATTCCATATTCCATTTATCACACAAAAAAACAAAGAATTGAGCTCGGAATTGAGTAATGTCTCTGGTGATAGCCCGATTACACGCCGCGCAATGACCACCATCGCCTTGAGACATAATTAACTAGAAATGAAGAACGCGGATGTAAGCCTTCCTTCTATAATTCCAAACTGTCTGGACTATAAAATATTAATTTACTCACAAAAGGAAAAAAGTTGATATGTTTGAAACATAAAATGCAAATTATAATAATATGCAAATTATGTTCACTGAGAATAAACCCAACTTATTGCTAGTTTTTTATAAAGTTTATTCACCTTGAAACAGACATCGAGAATTGGATATACGAAATTTTCCCAGAGAGAAAAGTGCTTTCTATAAAAATCTTCTTATCGCCTAACAACAGACAGTTTCCTCCTCCTCTCAATACCAGACTCAGATAAATCAACACACGATACACTGCGAAAACATAATATAAACATAAACATTCCAATCCACTCTTTTTTTCTTTGCCTATAGTACATTGGCCTAGTTCAGCCTTCA